CTGAGAAAAAGAATGGGCTCACATGTAGTAAATGCGGGAGAGAGGGAAATTGGAACCCAGTCTTAATTCTTTATCCCTTTTTGCCTTTCATAGTAAAGAGCACACTGCGCTGAGAATAACGGGATGGAGCTGTGGTTTAGGCCCCGATTCCCTAAAATCTCTACAACTCCATGCTAAATAATGCAGGTATATAGAAATGGCAGACACAATCTCAATTTTATCATCCTTTGAGGATTTTTTTGTTTGTTAAAAGCATCTCTTTTTCATCTCTTGTAGAAATGAACCAACACTTTTTCCCCATAGCCTTTCTGGATCTTTTTTGCACCACAACTTTCCCAAGCACCCTTATCTGTGGTCAATTTCATTTAAGTGTGAGACGTCTCCACTACCAACGAGATGAACAAAGAAAATTCACAATGCTCAAGAACAGCAGTCAGTTTAGCCACAAGAAATGATTACATCATTAGGGGAGTGGTGGGACAGATGAAGCGTTGTTTCCAGAGATTAAAGTAGCCCTGGAAGGCCTTTTCCAAAAATTTATTCATTTAACAAATTACTTACTAAGCACTTAAGTGCTAGACACTCAAGATACAGAGAGAGTAAGAAAGATAACCCTGCTTTTTTGGAGTAAACAGTCTAGAGCAGTTTGGAGTTGACTCAGTACGAATATAAGCAAACACTCCAACCTTCAAAGGGCTACAAAGAGGATATTTGTTATAAATACCCTGACAGGGGTGTCCAATCTGTGGATCGCATGCAGCCCAACACAAAATCGTAAATTTATTTAAAACCTCTTTTTTGCTCATCAGTTTTCATTAGTGTTTGTGTATTTAATGTGTGGCCCAAGACAGCTCTTCTTCCTCCAGTGTGGCCCCGAGACACCAAAAGGTTGGAGACCCCAAAACTAGCCAGAGACAGTCACATTACAGAAAATCTTAGAATCTGCAGTCAAATATGGTAATATCAAAAAGGAGTATTAAAACTACTGAAGGGAACAGTGGAGTCATTAGGAATGAGATATTTTTAGTTTTTTGTTTAGTTAGAGGCTCTACTGAAGGTCTTAGTTTAAAAAAAGGTCCTCCCGCTAAGCCGAAAAAAAAATTGTTTAGAACTTCATTCTAAGCTGGGAAGGGGAAGATATTAAAGGGTCAAGATATTAGCAAATTCTTTGTGCTGTGTAGCAAACTAGATGGCCATTTTTAATCCTCTGAACACTTTGTTAGCTATTAAATAGGTTAAAAGTGGACCTGAGTGAGGGTGTTTGTAAGTAGAGGTTGGGAAAGATGAATTCTGAAGGAAATAAACATTTGGAGTTTTGGGGTCTAATCCTAGAAATTGTGTGTGTGGGGGAGAGAAGGGGGGAGGTACGGGTGGAGGGGGTGGAGAGAGAGGGAGGGAGGGAGGGAGAGAATGAGAATAAATGGAATGCCAAATTCTTGGCTCTTTCTGTAGTCATCCTCATCTCAGTATCACAACTCCATTCTTCCAGCTGGTCAGGCCAACACTGGGAGTCATCCTTGACTTCTTTTTCTCCTAACCTTGTAACAGATGTTACTGTTCCAACCTCAAGATACATGTATGTAACATCCCTTCCGCACTCCCAACCTGATCCAAGCCACTCTTATCTCACCTTAATTATTGTGAGCCTCTTTAACCTTAACTCCTACAATCCGTTTTCAACACAGAAGCCCAAATGAACATTTTAAAAACCTAAGCTAGAGCGTGTCACTTCTCTGCACAAAACTTTAAAATGGTGCCCTATTTCACTGTCTTTATAATGGCTTACAAGGCCCTACAGTATCTAGCGTTATTCCTCCTGTAACCACATATACTACTCTTCTCCCCTCCTCACTCATTCCCATACTAGCTACACTGGCCTTCTTGCTATAGTTAACCTCAGAACCTTTGCATTTGTTTCCTGGAATGATCTTACCCAAACTATTCCCATGGCTTGCTTTCTCCTCTTTCAGGCCTTTACTGATTTCATGAGGCCTTCCTCCCTAGCCATCCTATTTCCAATTTCAACAACTCGACTTAGGCGCACACACACATATACCCATCCTACCTTCCATGCTTTACATTCTCCAAAGTACTTATTAACTAACACAGTTTTACTTGTCTCCTTATAACTAGAATGTAGGTTCCACAAGGACAGGATGCTTGTTTTGTTTACTGCCGTATTCCCATCAGTAATCAATGTATAGTACTTGGTAGTTACTATTTCCTAGTGAAGGAATAAAATGAAGGGCAAGAAAGTGCCTGAAACTGCTTTTCAGAAACGATTTATCTGAAAATCTTTTTCAGATTTTCAGGTCAATTGACTTCTTTGCATTCAACATCATTTCACTGCAATGTTGAGGGGGAAAAAGATGATTTTCCCACACGGACCACTGTGTGTGGAGCTTGCACATTCTCCCAAAGTCTGCGTTTTCTCCAGGTTCTCAGTTTCTCCAGATGTCCCAAAGGTGTTGTTAGTCTTGTCTAAGTTGTTCCAGCCTGGCCCTGGCTGGGTAACACAGTTGGTTAGAGCATCATCCCAATATACCAAGGTTGTGGGTTTGATCCCCATCAGAGCACATAAAAGAATCAACCAATGAATGCATAAATAAGTGAAACAACAAATCGATGGCTCTCTCTCTAAAAATCAATTAAAAATTTTTTTAACTTTCAAATTTAAAAACAATTTGATTTTTAGAGGTGAAGGGAGAGAGGGAGAGGCAACATGTGGTTGCCTCTTTCACGCTCCCCCCACCAGGGACCTGGGTCTGCAACCCAGGCATGTGCCATACACTGCAAATTAAACCGGAGACCCTTTGATTCCCAGGCCAGCACTCAATCCACCGAGTCATACCAGCTGGGACTAAATAAAAAAATTTTTAAAATTGTCCCAGCCTGAGTGTGGATATGTGATGCGCCCCACAGTGAATGGGCATCCTGTCCATGGTGGTTTGGAAAATCATTATCTTCCTTATTTTTATTCTTTCTTAAATGAATGTATAGCTCATATGTATTTCAATGTTTGAGTTTTTTTGGTTTTTATTTACAAGTTTGGTGATTTACCAGATATAGGAACATAATTTTTTTAAGGTATGCTTTTTTTTCTTTTTAACCCTCACCCGATTATATGTTTTAATTGATTTTAGAGAAAGGGGGAGAGAGAAAAAGAAATACATCAATGTGAGAAACATCAGTTGGTTGTCTCCAGTATACACCCCAACCAGGGATTGAACCCACAACCTAGGTATATGCCCTGGTGGGGAATCAAACCGGCAATCTTTTGGTGCATGGGATGAGGCTCCAGCTGAGCCACCAGGCCAGGGTGGAACATAACTCCCGTTTATATCAATTAGCCTAGGGTAAAACTGGTTTCCTTATCCATCTTTTCACTTAATGTCAGTTTCCAAGATTCTATCAACAATGTTAAATTGAGACTTCCTGTCTTCAATTTTAACTTATTTTCATCGCTAGTTTTTATCATTATGTTGGTTTTGAGTATTACATAAAATGATGTTGATTCCACAATGCAAAAAGGTAGCAGAAGTAGGACATGTGACAATTCATAAACTAAATCTATTCAGAAGTAGGCCCGAGCTAGTAAATGCAGAGTGGGGCAAAAGTAGGTTTATAGTTGTGAGTATGCAAGTTTATTCTTGTATTATTACTTACTAATTATTGTATTATTTCCCACAAGAATAACTGGACCTACTTTTGTACCACCCTGGATGAGCTTCTAAGGGAATCCAGAATTCCCTTAAAAGTCAAATAAGTCACAGAAGTCATAGAAAGGGCTTCAAACTTTCTACTGAAAAGTTGAATGATAGAGATCAAGCCAATCTTACTTAGAAGTAAGTACTCAGAAGTATCAGGAAAATTTGTAATTTAGGCATTGATTACAAAATGAAGCCTGGCTCTGCATCAATTAAACAAACCCTTCAATTGGGGATACAATTGTACACCACCATTATACTGTATTGTTTCCACTTACTCCCAAGGATGATACAGTTGATATTAACTCTCTTAACAAAGACAACTAAATTTATGATTTTGTGATATCATCCATTCCCACATTCTCCATTTACTGCTTTTCTATATTTTTCATTCAAACCTGATCAAAATTCCTAAAATGTCAGCGACTTCCACAAGTTTAAGGAGAGGTACATAGTAAACAAAAATCCTAAACTGTATTTTTTTAAATGAAAGCAAAGAACAAAACTCAGGATTTTTTTCAGAAACATGTAATTCTATTCAATCTATTTTCTTTTGAGATTTTAAACTGCTAATTTTATAGTATTTAGCATCAAAATTATTTCCCTTTAAATGTGTAATTTACATTTACACCCTGGCTGCTGTGGCTCAGTGGACTGAGCACCAGCCAGGGAAGGATGCCTGATTCAATTGCCAGTCAGGGCACATGCCTGCGTTGCAGGCCAGGACCCCAGTGGGAAACACCACACATTGATGTTTCTCTCCCTCTTCTCCCTTTCTCTCTAAAATTAAAATGAAATGTTAAAAAAAAAAAAAAAAAAGCAAATGTGTAATTTACAAGATTTACCTTGTGTGCATAGTTTTATTATATCCCAGGAAGTGACTCTTCACTATCAATTTTTCCAGGTACCAAGAATGCTATTAATTTTTTCCTTCTAAATGCACTTTGTCTATACTATTATTTCATATTTTTAAAACCAAGTATAAAATTATGAATCATGTTGATAGTGCTTGCCAGATAAGCAGTACATACTGCTATCATCTGTCTGAGCTATGTGTTTTGTGTGTGTATAGCAATTACTCTTCCAGGTGTTCACACAATACTAAATGAAGGGTTTTTTCCTACTCTGATTACATCATACTTTATACTTTCAGGTTCACTGTAATGACCAAATCTTAGGTCTTTCCAATGGACTCAACTCCCACAGGATCTTGTACCATAATAAGGTACATACTGTCAAAACTAAAACAAAGCTAAAATTACATCAATAAAATGACAGTTAAAGACTAATTTAAAGACTCAGTATGCAAAAACAGTAATAATCAGGTAAATGTTTTGTAATTAACATTTATTGATGGGATGGATAAATACAGATTGAGAAACATACTTGACAGCAATATATCAAACTGATAGCCAGACTATAAAATGTATACAACATTCTTTTTTAAATTTAAAAAATTTTTTTTTAATTTTTTACAAAGAGCCCTTACTGTAATGGTCACTTACATCCTACCATTCACATAACAGCAGTAGATACACCAGGGGTAGCATTCAGAACTGAGATGCCCCAAGGAGGACAGAGGCAACGGCAGAGTAATATGCTGAGAAAAGACTCTTAAGAGCAATACAAAGAAAACAGACAAAATATCACCACAAAATTGTACCTGAGTGACATGGGTTGGTAAAGTGTTTAGCTTTTTTTTTTTTTTTTTTTTTCCCCTTCTTTTGCTCTTTGGTCTGACAAGGAAACAGACAATTTCAGGTGTGTGGAGTAAGGTAGGGAAAAGCTCAGTTTCAAATCCAGAAGCCTAGGTTAACATTAAATTAGGCTGCTGCAATGTTTTCTTTGGGTGCTTAGCCCAGCCAGCACCTCCATCTTGTAATCAATTCCAATGTGATCAACCACTAATCAGATCCTCAGCTTTCATATGAAGACTTCCTGATAACTTGATGGATACACACTTGCTCTGGCTTCAATTAGCATGCTGTCAAGCATCCCTCTCCACACTTAACATAAGAACAGAAAACCCTAGAGTCTTTCTCTTCCTTTCATTCAACCATGAATATACACTCATAAAGGGAAAGAGTAGACACTACTTTTTAGTAAACATTTTCTTTTCCTCCCTTTTCCATTGCCAAGTTCATATTAAAAACTTTAGAAACATTAAAACAGAAGGATCTCCCACTAAAAAATAGTTCTCATTCTAGACCATTCTATCAGGTGGGATTACAGTACCATGCTTATTTCAAAATCACATCCAGAGGGATAAAAAAATAAAATAAAACTTGACAAGGTGATACCACATGAACATTTCTTAAACCATCAGGAGCAAATATTCAGTTAAAAGCTAGGTGTTAACAAGCAGCAACACAAGAAATCTGGGGAGGTATCAAAGTCACTGAAGGCTTAGTGGGGTTGCAGAGGACTCATTTCTCACCCTGTGAAGGGTTGCATAGACTGCTTCAATTCTCCAAAACCCAAGAGAATAGTATTTGTATTCCAACTTCAAGATGTTCTCAAATCTCCCTTTTCCTAGCATTAGTATCAAAATAACTCATCAACAAAAGAATTGTTTTTAAAAAAGTAATAATTTCCAAAGTTTCCACAGTTTCTGTGTTTCTGTGAGAAACACAGATATGTTTAAAATTCAAAAATACTGGGATAAGACCCCCTCTAACTGCCTTTGTCCAAGAAGCAAAGTATGAGGGGAATTTAGGTAGCAGAGGCTTAAGGAAATCCAGCACTAATGTTACCATGATTTTATTTATGTATCCTAATCCATTGCTGTTTCCAACTATAGATTTTAAAATGCTCTATCAACACAGGTGAAGCCAATAATAAAGAACTAAAAAAAAATACATTAAATCAAAACAGTAAAATCATTAAAAAGAAAAAAAGCAAGCCAAGGGTCTCAGATATGGAAATACATTGATTCATGAGTGAAAAGACTAAACTAATTCCTATGTATTTTCTAAACCCAAAAAGCTTAACTGATACTTCAGAAGACCAATTTAGCTTTAGATTAATGCTTCATTAGAGTTCAGCTAAGAGCAACACAGGTACTGATTAAAAGCCCTAAAGACAATCCACAGGTATTTGTTTTTGCCAACATGAGATTCAAGCACAGTTTACGATCAGATTTACAGAACTTGAGGCTTCAGGCCTGCTTATCACTACTTATCCTCAACAGTTTAGGTTAAAAGGAGGAGGAAAAAAGCCATGTTTACTAGACTAACTTTGGCTATATAAACGCCATTTCTCGCCCTTTGAAGGGGTGAGGGTAGAGAAGACACAGTTTAGAAACTAAACAGCCCTTCAAAGCCTAAGTTTGTGCAAATTTGGACAATATACATGCTAGCTGACAGGTGCACTGCTAACCCAAAGACAATGCAACAGCTTCATGCAGAGCCCATAAGGTGGTTCAGAACATATACACAGATCTAAAAACAGATATGGTAGGTAATTTAAACAGTATCAGGAGGCATTAATATAGAAAAGTCTCTAAACTGATTATACCAGCAATGATCTAGTAGGGTGCATAGGCCATACTACATGACATAAAGCAGCTCTCAGGCTCTAGGCAGAACATTTTTCTAGTTCACTCCTGACAAAGTTCTAAGGAACTAACTACACTGCCATGGAGCAATGCTAATGAGGCCAAGCAGATATGTATGTCTCTGTGGTGAGGGAGTGCATGTGATTAAAAATATGCATCGTTTGGTAAGAAAAATCAAAAGCTGGAAAAGACATTTTCATAATCAAATCAGTGATCAATTCCACCAAGATACAGATGCAAACAAAATAACCTTCTGGAAAGAGCAGACTCCACCAAACAAAATCTAAACAAATAGCCTATATTTAGTAAAAATGTCACACATCTACTGATTAGAACACAAACTATCAAGGAGAAAGAAGAAAATGTCATCTATAATAGTGAAAGTGACATTCCAAGTAAAAATTATACTAGTTTACAGGTTGGCAGAGAGCTCATTTTATACAGCAATGGCAGGCACTGTAGACAGTTCAAATATGCAAAGATGCTGGACATTAATTCACCTTCAATTAGGTTTACTATACAAATTCCTTCCTGTATTAGGCCAGTGCATAATTAATTCCAACTGCTTCAGTGTTCTCCCCAAATTGTTCCTTGCAAGCAGCAGCACATGTACAACTTCCATCTCCCTATGACTTCCAACAAAAATTTCAATTTGTCCAGAAAGACTATTTGGTGTGAAGTAAACTGCATTAAAAAAAATACACATTCAAACTGCATCATATTTCCACAGCAAAAATTGCCATGAAGACCAAAGAATATGGTATCAAACAATCTGTAGCCAGGTGGCATTTTCAGTTAGACAACTTGGTTTATTAGAATTCTTCTAGCCCCTTAAAAGATTTCTGTTCTCAACAAAAATGTTCACTCCTAAAATCTGGGATAATCAAGCACCCATAAGAACAGACACTTAATCCACTTTTTAAAAGGATTTTTAGAAATCTGAAGAACCTCTGCCTAGTATCTAAAACCACCAAAAATGAACAATCTAACATAACAGTGTATGTGGTCTAGGCTTGCTCACCCTCATGGCATGGTACTATTAAATTCACAAGCTCTAATCTCTGATGACATACAGGCTACAAAAATGTAGGATGCAGCTGTTTCTCTTCAGCTATACAGATAAAAAAGTATCACATTTATAATATAATTTAAAATACATTGTCCCCAAAAATTCCAAATCACGATTTCACTGTTTTCAGGATGCTCTAGCTCCATGGCTTCTCCCAGAACTATTTTCACATATGGTCTGGGCTTCCACAAGTAGGATGTTTAGCATATACCCTTTCCCATTTGAGACCCCGAGATTGCTCTCACTTGAACACTTCCCCAAGGCCCAACTTGGAAAATACACACCCAGTTCTGTACGACAGAAACCAACCTTGCTTTCCAAACCTTCCTCAACCCCACCTTTATTCTGAATCAAAAGAAACAAAGGATAAAAAAAAAGTTTTATAATGGAGTCCAAAATCAGGCCATGGGCTGCACTTGCCCAAACTAGAGTTTGGAAGGCTACCATTCAATTGCAACATAAAGACAGGGGGAAATACCAAGATGAATGCATGCCTCTTCCTTCCTTTATGTTCTAAAGGCCACACCGTATTCTCACTAGTAGACTGTTGGGAAGTGGAAATGGTGAGGGACAGGGAGGGAAAGAAAAAACATGATATTTAAACACACACACTTCAAAACATACATATCCACACTTACATACACACTTAAAGGTCTCAACACTTCAAGTGGCCAGAGACTATCTCAGAACTCATGGCCACAAGCCTACCCTCCCATCCCCCCTACACACCCTCCACCCTCCAATCCCACCCCCAGGACTCACTGCTGTGTATCCCATACACACAGCAAAATCCCTATCCCTTCCCCAATTATATAAAAAACTAAACAGATAACTTACTTTCTTTAAATTATTTTTTTAAGTCTCTTAAAAGATGATGATGTTTAAATACTTCCTCTCTTCTGACATACTGAATACCAAAAGGATCCACAACTGTCTGATATAACAAACCCTCCATATTTCAGTCCTGGCAAGAAGAGGGAGGATATCAACTCTAAACAACCTAATTAGGAGGTGGAGAGGCCAAGAACAGAGAAAGTATTCTCAATCTTTCACAGCTTCAACACATTCTCAGCTCTCTAATACCAGTAAAAACTATAAAATAGTTAAATTTCAGAGGCAGCAGGTACAATAACCAAGGCCCTCTACCATCCTCCCACCTATGTCTCAATATTAATTTATTCCCTAGTCCAAGTAGGGAGACATATTTCATTAGGAAAGTAATGTTCTTAGTCCAGAATCAGTAGTTAAAAAAAAAAAAAAAAAAGTGTGTTTTTAAAGAAGTTTTTCTTCTCCTCTTCTTTTTCTTTTTTACTTAGGAAGGGGTGGAAGTGGTGGAGGAGGTTCTGAAGGTAGAGGTGGTGGTCGGGGTTTGTCTGTATTGCCAGATCTGGAGGGCATTCCTCCACTAGCCCGAGGATTCAGATATTCACCATAAGAATGAACAAATTCAAATGCAGGGGGTGGAGTGGGCTGAACACCCTGGGCAATGAGAAGGGAGTGAAGCATATTCACAGTATCTTGATGGTCTATTGTCTGGGCTGTGTTGTGACCATTGGCCCCAGTGGGGCCTTTATCCAGTTTCATATGAGGAACTCGAGTTTTACAGCTAGGCTGTGAATAATGAAGGCCACTTGTGTCTGAGCTATGCCCAGGCAACTGGGTCATTGTAGGAAGAGGGAAGGAGAAATTCATGGAAGAGGATTTAGTACTTTTGGCAATCTTGGCTGGATGATCAAACACTGCTCCTCCAGTATCTTCAGGGGGACCCCTTTTACGAGCAGAACTGGAAGAGGAGAAAGAACCAGACAAGCTATAGGTTTTGTGTGCTAATGAGCTTGTCTGGCTACTATGTTTTGGATCACCTGGCCGTTTGTTCCCAGTACCAGCTGGAAGCTGTGAGTGAGAGTGCTTGTGTGAGTGGTGATTATGATGATGATGGTGATTAGATGGGTGAGTCTTGTGCTTTTCTTTGTGCTCTCGGCTCTTTGTGACACTGTCATCCACAGAATTGTGCTTGTCAGTTGCAGCATGGACTTTAATGCGCATTTTGATCTCCTCTGGTTTTGAAGAAGCAGCTTTATCCCCACTTGCCACTGGAATTCTCATTTTGAGAGCTGTTTTGTCAGACTTTTCCAGAAAAGGCCGCTCAGGATTTTCTGAGCCCTCTATGGGCATTTTCAGAATGACTGAAGAATGGCTATCGTGTTGAGACAGGAGATTCTGGGCAGCATATGCATACTGTGACTTCACATTGGCCTCCATGTTCTCCAGTTGCCTCTTCTGGGCAGCCAATTCTTCTGCATGCTTTGCACGGTATTCTTTCAGTGATACTTTAGCTGATGGTGCACTCTTACTATTCTGCTTCTGGGAAGTAAATGCATTTGAATTATCCTGTTGCAAGGAATGATCAACTCCTATAAGTGCTACATTCTCACTAGTCCGATGACCCTGAGCAGATTCTAGTTTAAAAGGAGGTTGGGAGGACAGCCAACGCTCGCCCTGCAACACATCCACACTGCTTATGTTGCTGGATGACTCTTCAGTGGCTGGAACGGAAGGCACTGCACTTGTGGTAGAAGTTGTTGACATGCTCATTAAACCTGCAATAGTTTTGTCTGAAGAGCTTTGGGAAATCATATTGAGGATTGTCTGCTCCGAAGTGTTCGCATCTGCTCCTCGATCCTCCGCTTTTGTTTTCCTGGCAGCTTGGCATGCCTAGAATGAAGCAAATAATAACTCTTCACTTCAGGTTACTTATTATACAGAAAAAACACTGAAATGAGTAGACTGTGCTTGCTGTGACCTTGCAGTTTTTCACTGTGCATAAGCAGGAGGCTACTCTAAAATAACACTGGTAATTATTACCATCAGGAGACATAAGATTTTAAAAATTTTCAATCAAGAGTCAGGCAAACAGGATCTCACAGAGCTATCTGCACTCCCCTGTTCATTATAGCATTATTCACAATAACCAAGATATAAAAGCAACCCAAGTGTCCATCTATGGATGAATGGATAAAGAAAATGGGGGGGGGGTGTATATGTGAACACATAAAATAAACTATTATTTATCAGTAAAAAAGAGGAGAAAGAGCCCTAGCTGGTGTGGCTCAATGGATCGAGCACCGGCCTGCAAAGCTAAGGGTCGCCGGTTCGATTCCCAGTGTAGGGCACATGCCTGGGTTGCAGGCCAGGTCCCCAGCAGGGGGTGCGTGAGATGCAACCACACATTGATGTTTCTTTCCCTCTCTTTGTCCCTCCCTTCTCCTCTCTAAAAATAAATAAAAATTAAAAAAAAAAAGGGGGGGAGAAAGATTCTGGGAAGATGGCAGAGTAGGGAGATACAGAAATCTGTCTCCCCACCTAAACAAGTGCATTGGCAGAATGTGTCTGATGCTATTATTTTATTTTGGAACTCTAGAGTCTGTTGAAGGCTTGCAACTTCTGGGGTAAGCCTTGAATGGTAAAATGGGGTTAATTTCATTTCTCAGCACAGTAGAAACTATCCATCACCCACCGCCAGCTATACAGCAAGAAGCTGTGTACCAACTTCTGGAGTAGCTTGCATATAGCCTTGGGAAGCCAGGGTGAGCAAAAATTACTCTTTCCTCCAAATATTGGATATTTGTGATGTGATCACTGATTGCTTCTTCTGATCACAGAGGCACAGAGCCATTGTTGTTGCCAACTCCCTCTGTTATTGCAAGCCCCTCCCCCTCTGGCTGAAGCAATTGCCTGGGGATTTAAAAGACCAACACCCTTCCTCCCCATCACTTTTTTGGTTTGTTCCCCTTTGTGGAGCCACACATTAAAGAGAAGCACATTCAAAAACAACTCCATATACAGGAAAAATTAGAAAATGACTGTACATGTCCAGGAAAAGGCTCAGAAAAGACCTTAAGTTTATACTCCAGGCTGATCCTCAGCAGAAAGACACCCTACAAAATCAACCCCTCCACCCTCAAAGAATGAACAAAACAGTAAGAAAAACCACAAACCGAGAGTGTGAAAAATCTGCCTTCCAGAGTTACCCCATTACTATGTTCAAATGTCCAGTGTTCAACAAGAACAAAATCACAAAGATTATTAAAAAATAGGAAAGTATGACCCATTCAAAGTAAAAGCTTAATCAATAGAAACTGTCTCTGAAAAACACCTGATGACAAATCTACTAGACAAAGATTTTAAAGTAACTTGCTTAAAGATATTCAAGGAACTAAAGGAAGATGTGGAGCAAGTCAAGAAAACAGCTTGTGGACAAAATGGAAATAATCACTTATCAATAAGGAGATAAAAAACCTAAAAAGAAACTAAAATGAAATGCTGGAGCTGAAAAGTACAATAACTAAAAGAATTCAAAATCAGGTGTGACTATGAAGAAGTAAGAATCAGCAAACATGAAGATAGAGCAATGCAAATTATTGAATCTAAGGACAGAAAGAAAAAAACTGAAGCAAGTGAACAGAGCCTAAAGGACCTGTGATATCACCATCAAGAGGACCAACACATGCATTGAGGAAGTTTCAGAAGAAGAGAAAGAGGCACAGAAAATATTTGAAGAAATAGTGGTTGAAAACCTCCCAAATTTGATTAAAGATATAAACATAAATATTCAAGAAACTCAACAAACTCCAACTAAAAAATTAGACTCATACCAAGACACATTAAAATCAAACTTTCAAAAGCCAAAAACAATGAACCCTGAAAGCAGCAAGAGAAGCAAATCATCCCAAACAAAATCACAAGCTAAGGTCACATGCTTTCTCATCAGATACTTTGGATGCCAGAGAGAGGGGGCTAATACATTCCAAGTGCTAAAAAGGAAAAACACTATCAAACAAGAATCTAGCAAAAATATCCTTCAAAAAAGAGAGGGAGAAATTAAGACATTTCCAGATAAACAGAGGTGAGGGAGTTCATGACCACTAGACTGGTCATACATGAAATGCTCAAGGGAGTCCTCCAAGGTGAAATGAAAGGAAACGAGACAGTAGCTTGAAGGCACATGGGGGAAAAGGATCTAAATAAAGATTAAAAACATGGACAAATATAAAAGCTAGTATAATTTTAACAATGGTTTGTAACTGCGCCTTTTGTTTTCTACATGATTTAAGAGATTAACAAATTTTAAGAAAAAAATTTATTAGTATAAAAGCTAGCATTACTGTAACTTTGGTTTAATTATAACTTCAAATCTTGTTTTTTATATAGTATAAAAGCCTAACGGATTTTAAAGAATTATTAGTTTATGTTTTTGGGCACAAAATGTACAAAGATATACCATATTTTGCCATATATAATGTGCACTTTTTTGCCCAAATTTTTGAGGGAAAAATAAGGATGCAGCATTATACATGGGTAGTACTAATTCCCATGTATAATGCGAGGTATATATGGTAATTTTGTCACATCAAGAACCAAAAGGGGTAGGAAAACAAGTGTAAAGGAGTTTGTATGTCACTGATGTTAAACTGGTATGAGTTCAAATTAGAGATTTGTAACTTCAGTAGGATGTCAAATGTAATGCCCATGATAACCATGCACACACACACAAAATAGCTGTACAATACACAAAAAAGGAACTAAGAAAATTCTAAATTTCACTATAAAAAAATCAACTAAACACAGGACAGAAATGCAGAATATGAGGGGCAAAAAAAGCTAAAAGGTATATAAAAACCAAACAGCATAATGACGTAAGTCCCTCCTTACATATAATTAAAGTACAACTGGATTAGATTCTTAACGAAAAGACAGAAATTAGCAGAATGAATAAAAACATATGAACCACCTATAGGATGTCTATAAGCACCGAGATCCAAAGACCCAAACAGGATAAAAGTGAAAGGATAAAAACAGATATACCAGGACTCACGGTCAACATGGCAGCATAGATCAACACAGCTCGCCTACACACACAACCACATCAAAATTACAATCAAACCATAGAACCACCATCATTCAGAACCATCAGAAATCGAGTTGAATGTAAGTCTGACAACTATGGAATTAAAGAAACCACATCCATCCAGACTGGTAGGAAAGGCAGAGATGTATAACAGGCTGGTTCCACATCCACCTGTGGTAGATAAAAATTCAGAAGGGATATACTGGGAGTGAGAAGTTCCAGTCCCACACCAGGCCCCTCAGCCCAGGGTTCCAGTGCCATAACTTCTGGCTGCAAAAAACAGCGGGGACCGAAATGGTAGAAGAAATTTCTGGAGTCCCAAGCAGTTCCTCTTAAAGGACCCACACACATACTTACTCAGACTCACTCCCTCTGAGCTCCAACAGCAGGGTAGCAGCTTGAAAGGCACAAGTTGCATACAGGGAGGAACTGAAGGGTCTGGTATCAAGGCGAGGGCAGGGGGACAGCTTTCTTCCAGACAGAAAGGCAGGCAAAGGCCATTGTCTCTTTTCTGAACCCTCCCCCGACAAAGCCATAGGGCCAGCAAGTGGGTGCCATATCTGAGACTATCAACCTGGGTAACACTATTTGCCCTGTCCTGGAGATACCCTCAGACTCCGCCCCACCCAACTTATGGGCCCACCCAAGCTGTTAACAGACACTTTTCCATATGAATGGCTGGTCTTGGCTCATGCTTCAAAACCTAAATACTCTCAAACAAGCAACTGCCAACATCAGTGAACCCCTAACCTCAGTACCTCTTGCTATGTGGCCAAAGGCCCAGTACTAGCAGCAGCCAGCCTAGATTCACAGCTTGACTTTGCCTGGTAATCTCCAAGCCCAGCACAAGCAGCAGCCACCTGAGATTGCTTTCTAGCCCAGGCAGGGTGGCCCTGGACAGAACACAGGTAGAACACAAGGGCTCACCTTGGTCTGTACCACCACAGAAACCCCAAAGCCTGCACACCCAGTGGACAGCTACAGACTACACTGGAGCACTACCACCTTGCTCCTGCACAGCTGATCCTCATGGACAACAGAGGCTGTTGGTGAGTAGTCACAGCCTGTCCTTGCAGCTGACTGGCCTGGGGTAGAGCCCTTCCACTGACCTGCCAAGAGCAACCAAAGCCCAACTACAAGTGGAGGGTATACTCAGCCCACAGGAAGAGCGCACCTCAAGTACCCAGCTTGGGTGATAGAGGAGGCTGTACCACTGGACCCTACAAGACACCTACTACATTAGGCCACACTACCAAGACAGGGGGTCATAGCAGCTCTACTTAATACATAAAAACAAACACAGGGAAACTGCCAAAATGAGGAGACAAAGAAACATGGCCCAAAGGGGAAGAATAGATCAAAACTCCAGAAACAGAACTAAACAAAAGGGAGATAAACAATCCACTGGTTATAAAGATGCCCAAGGAACTTAGTGAGGACCTCAACAGTATAGAAAAAAGATCCAGTCAGAAATGAAGGATTCAGCCCTTGCTGCTGTGGCTCAGTGGATTGAGTGCTGGCCTGAGAACCAAAGTGTTGCTGATTTGATTCCCAGTCAGGGCTCATGCCTGGGTTGCCAGGGCTCATGCCTGGGTTGCAAGCCAGTCCCCAAGAGGGGAGCACACACGAGATGCAACCACCCACTGAAGTTTCTTTCCCTCTCTTTCTCCCTTCCTTTCTCTAAAAATAAATAAATTACATCTTAAAAAAAAAAAAGGATTCACTAATCGAAATAAAAATTTACAGGCAAACAACAGTAGAGTGGATGAAACCGAGAATCAAATCAATAATCTGAAACATAAGGAAG